CGACGAGGTTATGGCTCCTGGGCAGCATCTGACGAAGATAAGGCTGAGGAGTTCGCCATTCATCTATTCAATACATTTATTTCACATCCGGAATCTCATCCTGCCCACACCAGTAGAAGAACTCCTTACATCACCATTCCCACTTTCCTTACCCCCAAAAGCTATTCATCCTTCCGAAGTGAAATTTCAATTAAAAAAACTAATTCCCCGTAAATTTTCTGGACATGATCTTACCCCTCAAATCCTTCGACAACTTCCATCCAAAGCAGTCATATTCCTTACATATATCTACAATTGTATCCTACGCACCACCCACTTCCCTCTGTTATGAAAACACTCCACTATTATCCTCTACATCCTATAGACCAATTAGCCTACTCCCAATGCTTTCAAAAATTTTTGAAAAGATCCTTTTGAAACGAATCCTACCCATTATAGAATCCCAAAATATCCCTTCCCATCAATTTGGTTTTCGCTCTCAACATTCTACTGTTCAACAAGGACTCCGAGTTGTTGATCATATTTCCTCAGCACTAGAAAACAAGGAATACTGTTCGGGTGCATTTCTGGACATTGCACAGGCATTTGACCGGGTATGGCACTCCGGACTGCTCTCCAAGCTTAAAATCCATTTACCTCAGTCCTTGTACCTAGTCCTACCTCTTTGACCGCTTCTTTCGAATTCGCTGTGGAACAGAATTTTCCAATATCTACTCCGTTAAAGCCGGTGTTCCCCAAGGCAGCGTCGTGAGTCCCGTGCTTTACATCCTCTTTACTGCTGACATCCCTGTTCGTCCAGATACTTTCCTTGCAACATTCGCTGACGACACCGCAATCTTATCATCCAACTCTGATCCCGAAATAGCATCCTTAAATCTCCAAAGCCACCTCACCTTGATTGAGATCTGGTGTAATAACTGGCGCATTAAAGATAATGAATCTAAATGCCAACATATCATCTTTACACTCCGACGCAATTCCTGTCCACCAGTACTTTTTAATTTCATCCAGCTTCCTTACTCAGACACAGTCCGGTATCTTGGCTTTCCTTTAGACCAAAGACTAACGTGGAACCCGCATACTAGACTCAAAAGACAAGAACTCAACCGACGATACGGCCAACTATACCGACTACTAAGCAGAAAATCTAAACTTTCCATTGAAAACAAGCTACTGATCTACAAGACAATACTGAAGCCTATTTGGACTTACGGACTAGAACTGTGGGGATCAGCAAACTTTTCTAACATCAAGCGCATCCAATCCTTCCAGTCAAAAGTCCTTCGAACAATAGTCGATGCTCCTTTCTATGTAACCAACAAAACCCTACATCATGACCTCAACATCCTATTTGTCCTAGACCTTATCCTAGAAAAATTCTCCAAATTTCACCAGAACCTTAAGTACCATCCAAATCCTCTTGCACAATCCCTATCAAGCACCCCCCATCCCTATAATCATCCAAGAAGTTTGAAACGGCAGTGGCCTCGCGACCTTTTGTAGATTGTATAAATTGGAGTTCTGGCAATGACCAAATTCTTCACTCAAGACATGAGTGTATGTGGCTGAAGTGCTGTCGATCAATCTCCGCTGGCTTTAGAACCAGTGACGCGGTTGAGAGAGTAGCGCAGGGTTCTCCTCGAGTTCCCTCGCCTGATTGTATCTAGTATGCATGTTTTTTTTTTTTGCTTAGTTTTAATTTTCTTATTTTTTAGGTTATTTTATTTTATTATCTATTGTATATACTTTTGATTATAATTTTGTTTCTATTTATTATATTTTTTTTGTTCATATAGTGTGAATGTCATCCTACCTCACTATAACCAATGTCCAAGAGACAGATTGTTGTAATACTCAATAAAGAAATTTAAAAAAAAAATATTTCAAATTAAATAACCCTTACATTTGACCTCAGTCCGGGTCGGTGAATTTCCGGCAAAAGTCGAGAAGTTAAAAATAAATAATAATAACAGTAATACAGGTTTGAATTACATCTGAAATTTAAAAAGTCACTGTTGACGTAAAAAGAATTATATTTGTGTTAACGCCGCATACATTCATATCTTTATTTTTTCTCACCGTTTTACCCCTTTTTAAATCTTAATAATGAAATGTTTATTTATTCTTTTTGTAAAAAGCTGGGAGATAGTGTCCTTAAAATTTATCTCAGTGTATATTATTTATATATTTAGCCTCATTTGCGATGTATTATCGCGTGTATACGCTCCATATATATCTGTATACGCTCCAGCCCGGCAGTAATATCCAGTCTTTTAAGGATTAAGACACAAATACTGCTGGGAAGCGGTCAAGAGTCAGTCAGGAGCGAGTATTCAGAGATATATGGTCTACGCCGGAGATGCTTTTTCCCATTCACGATTGCCAGATATTAGCATCCCATCCTTTTCCGGAGATATCGCGAGTTGGCTAGATTTTAAAGAAACGTTTAAATCTTTAGTACACGAGAGGGAGGATTTGGATAACATCCAAAAATTTCATTACTTAAAATCGGGGTTAAAGGGTTCGGCGTTGCAAGCTTTCTCCGCTATTTCTATATCACCTTCAGGATACACACAAGCATGGGACGCGCTCTACAAAAGTTTTGTTAGCAAGAGGATCCAAGCCACTTTCTACCTTACGAGAATTTTAAATTTCGATCCTCTTAGTGGGGGTAACCTCGCTAATTTGGAAAATGTCTCTTCGGTTGTGGAGAGCGCGTCGGCAGACCTCAAGTTGGAGGGAATATGCGACCTTCCTGGTTTCATATTAAGTACTCCGGCACTTAGGCGATTGGATACCAAAACCAGAGAAGGCTTAGAAATGGATTTCAGGTCTAAAGATGAACCTCTATCTCGGAATCATCGCGGGCTATATTCAAAGACACGCCGTGAAAATGCGTTCGGAGGCCCTTCTCGTTAATACGGTATCCGAAGCAGTGCACCCGAAGTCCGAATGTAGAAAACCATCGAGGCAGGTTATGATGGCCAATTCGTATTAGACCTCGACGAAATGCCCAAAATGTGAAGTACCTCACTGCATATACGATTGTCTTCGGTTCAAAAAGCTCTCACCGATGAGAACCGCTACAGCGATAAGAGCTTATAACGGGTCTTAAACGTTGCATTAATTGTTTGGCTTCAGGACATTTCGTGAATATGTGTACCTCTCGCGTATCTTGCCGATTCTGTGTTAAAAAGCATCATTCCCTCCTACATTTTTTCGCTCGGGAATCTAGGCAAACGGAGTCTAGTAATTTGAAAACTGCACCATGTGGCTGTGGTGTAAGTTCCAAAAGTAATAACACGAATACGTTATCTTCCACTCCTCGTTCTTCGGTCTCACCACTTAACCCTCTCACTCCAGTTCGTTTAAAAATATCATATCGCCTATCGATAAAAAATCGCTCACAACATCTCGTACCACCACCGTTCTCCATAGTGCAACAACCCCTCATATTCACACCGAGAGCTCCGTGTCGCCTACCTCTCCACCCGGAAGACGCTTCACGCCGCACCGCAATGCTTTGAGGGACGGTTTGTCCAAAAGGCATCGGGTTACGTTCGATACATTAGTAGCATAGCAGGAAGCAATTCGTTCGATGATCACCCCCTCCTCACCGGTCATAGCCCACTGTTTGACCTTAAGTCGTTAAAATCGTTTGTTGATCTCCTTGGTTTGGTCAGAGTGGGCGGCAGGTTACGTAACTAATTCACGAATGATCATCTCCTCACCGGTCATATATCACAATATGAACCAACTTCGTTACAATCATTCACACCGTTTTGCGTTCCCGTTGGTTTGGTCAGGGTGGGCGGCAGATTGTATTACGCTCCTATGCTTCTTCCATCAAAGTTTCCTTTCGTTAATTCCTTCGTAAACCGATCTCACCTTATCTTTCCTCACGCCGTTCCATAAATGTTGCACTCATCGTTCCGAATTCTCGTACGCATCCTCACCCGCGTTTAGTTAACAGTCCGTAACTTGCGAGCAGTGGGCGACAGAAGTGTCTCGTTTGGAAGGTGTTCTCTCCATCCGATATACTCCGATCCTACGGATTATTTCTCACCCCGCGACACTTTCTGTTCGCAGCACCCGTTACTCCTTTCACTCAAATCTCCTATACCTCCCAAATGAGATCTCTAAAAATTTCCTTAAATTTTGGTGGGCGGTATGTTAACGCCGCATACATTCATATCTTTATTTTTTCTCACCGTTTTACCCCTTTTTAAATCTTAATAATGAAATGTTTATTTATTCTTTTTGTAAAAAGCTGAGAGATAGTGTCCTTAATATTTATCTCAGTGTATATTATTTATATATTTAGCCTCATTTGAGATGTATTATCGCGTGTATACGCTCCATATATATGTGTATACGCTGCAGCCCGGCAGTAATTCACAGTCTTCTAAGGATTAAGACACAAATACTGCTGGGAATCGGTCAAGAGTCAGTCAGGAGCGAGCATTCAGAGATATATGGTCTACGCCGGATGTCGTCAGTACAATTTTATTTTTCACTGAATATTATAGTTTTTATTTATTTCAGTGAACTTCACACCATTGTTTATTATGTTTTTTAACTTTTCTATATATCTTTTTTATTTAATATAACTGTGTGAACATTCAGAAGGGGATTTATATTTATTTTTCCATTGTTGATTTATTGAAGATTTCTATTTTATGATGTTTTGATGTGCATGCATTTTTTATCTTTTTTTACAGTTCTCATTTTTTACTATTTTTTTTTCCTTCTTCTTCACATTTTAGTTTTACTCGAATATTTCCCACCTTTGAGGAAACCAGGTAAAGGTTTGTATTTTCGATTTTGAAGTACTCCTTGCCCCACATCTTTTGGTCCAGACCAACAATTTGAATTGGAAAAAGGTTATACTTATTTCTTGGGAGTACTATGATACACAGATTAAAATTTTGCAAAACATATGTTTATTAAAACTAACACTTTACAAGGATGTTAATAACAAAACTGAACGTTATTTGACACAAAACATAACAACAAAAAATATACAAACTCATTGTATTCTAAATATCATAGATTGTGATAAAAAAAATAAAATATAAAAAATATTTGTATTTATTTATTTAAAGAATAGGTATTCAGATTCAGTTACTATTCACCCTGTCATTCAACTTATTTTAGAGGTGGAGCTGACTTAAAGGTAACTACACTATATTTCCCACAAATTTCAAATTTGGTCAGTGAGTACTGTGGGCAACAATTATCAGCTTTGTTTTTTAAACTTTCAATGTTGAATTGCATTAAGTGGGACTTCAATTTTTGATACACAAAATTATATATTATAATTATAATTTTTGTAGTTATAAAAGCTTTGTAAGCATATCATAGTATCATTATAAGATAAAAGTGACAACTGGACAACACAAATTACACCTCAAGAATTACAGTACACATTTATGATAGACCAGAAAGGGGTATAAATATTAAATAGCAAAGAAGCGTAAATTAATCCTTTGACTGCAGACGGAATACATGCTTTTCCATTACGAGTTGGGTCACTAGTGGGGACAGGATATATTTTTTCCCAGCGGTGAGTTGGGTCTGGCTGGTATGGCTGGGATATATGCCTTCCATCCTTGGCTGTAGCTACTTAAACAGGAAGGGGCAAGTCCAGCCTCCACCATTTGACTTGTGGCTTGGTCGGTGCATTCGTTAGTCCTCTTTAGCTGACTCAGAGCGGTTGTTCTGGATTTTTCTATCAAAACATTCTATATTTAACATGAAGCAGTTGTTGACAAATAACTTAAAGTGACTGTTAATGTAAAAAGGGTTATATTAGAACACATATGTCCAATTGGTAGAAACACTCGCATGAGCTCCTGCAGTCAAAGGGTTAAAAGATAATTTAGACTATCCTATTTCAAATAAGTTAAATTTTTTATTGAAAACCTATGGCTCTAATTCAAGTCAAGTTAGCTGTGTGTAGTAAAGAATGAAACAATGAGCTAAATGAAGTCCTTGATCATTCTGAAAAACTTGAGTTACTCCTTGTAATTTTTAATACCAATAACTAACAAAATTTAACTTTACTATAATGCGAGTATGAAAGTAAACATAAGGATCTCTATTAAATACAAACAAGTTTACCATAATCAAGTCCAACAAATCTACATGAAAAAAATAAGGAATGTAACCTACTATAGTTTAAATTCATTAAAAAATAAATGAGATAATAAGAAGAAACAAGGAGGTAAGTGGAACTGAGGTATTTCAAACATATATTTATTGCTTAAGGATTACCTTAATAGTATAAAATAAAACTATGAAATAATTTAGACTGAACATATAAAAAAAAAATTTTCTAGAATATCTTGTTTTCTTGCTAAAAAGAATAGGTCACTTGGATAATCTTATGCATGTGCCTCCGATTACCTTATCCTGAAACAAACAAATGTTTAATTAACTGAAAGTACAATAAATAATATATTAATACTAGAATATAACAAAAGTCATTGTGCACGAAATCCTTTAATTCCTTGCGACTTGAGTTGGCTTTATGGGTATTTGTTTACATTTTTACACATGTCCAATGTCAAAAGAAACAATTATAATAACCTGTCTTTTGAGATTTTAGTGTATACGATATGTTCTATAACCTACTAACAAAGATAAAGAACACACTAACAACTCTTCATTATATATTTTTTTGGATGGGATCGGAACAAATGTAAACAAAGGATTCATGGTGGAGTTGTATTGGGCTGCCAGAAGCCGAATGGCCTAATAGCCAACGGCAGAGGCGTTTAATAAAAATACATATATATATTTTTTACCAATAATACATTTATAATACAAAAACCCACAACTTTTTATATCCTAACTGGGAGTTTACTGCATAACTTACCAGTGCCTTTTGCATTAACATACAACTAAAGGGGGTGGGGTTAGTAACGCTTGAGTACTTTCGAAGGAGCTCCATTTACCATACGCCTTCTGGGACCGAACATATGGTAGGCTCTGCTAACCTGTAAGTCTACCTTTAGTTGAAGAACCAGTCCTCTTATCCACTAATTGGTATCCCGCCAGATCCACCATAAGCTTGTGGTGAAGAAAAAGCAAGTCTGCACCGATGATAAGTTGTCCTACTTCTGCTAGAATAAAGTGCAAGCTTATTTTTCATCACAGTCATAAATCCAACTCAATAAGGCTTTCCCCTTGAATGGAGATAGGAGTTCCATTTGCCTGCATATAAGAAAAATTCACCATACTTTTCTTCAAAGGCTTCTTAACTGGAAAAATTGACAGTGCAGATCCCATGTCCACCAAGTAGCGAGTATGGGACTGATGGTCAAAAACAAAATGACGGTGGTTGACAGGTCTAGCAGCAGTTTCCACCTCAGCTGCTGCTAATTCTAGTTCCCAATGGCTTTGACCATTCTTCCAACTGCATGGTGTCACGCAAACCTTAGCCCTTTCTCTGAACCTATCATGATAGAAGCATAGCTTTTTTACTTGATTCTTCGATAAACGATGAAGAGCAGTTCCTGATCCTGACTCATGGGCTTCTAATGCAGCCTTCCTTTCTGTTAATTTATCTAGAATTGAAAGCAATCGATTTTTATAAGAAGAGTGGCGAGTTAGTTTTAGCGAGACCACTTCTCCGAATTGAGTCTTAACTATCTCGGCTATTCGGTCGGCTACTACGCTGCTCTTCTCTAAGTCCTGCTGGTCATTTGCTGCTAGGGCTAATTACATACTCTCAGTCTGTGTAACGAAATGGTGTCATTCTTATTAAAATACCGCTACTGAGCCTTAATTTTCGCTGTGGAGAGTCTCCACTGATTGTAAGGTTGAAACGGGGGTGGGGGAGGAGTAATGGGAGAGGGAGGGCTTTAGTTACTTATTCTAAAGTGAGGACGCCAAATACCTGTTCTGAATTCATTCTATAGAATTTATCAATCTATTTGGATATTAATATGTAGGTATAGTTACTCACTGTTATTTACTAACTTCAGGATCACTACTTTAGTGTATATGGTTTGATCTAATCAAACATAATACACTACAAACTCTTTATAATATATATTTTTTATCAATAATAAATTTTTAATAAAAAAATCCACAATGTTTTATATTCTAAGCGGGAGGTTACTCCATGGATCACCAGTGCCTTTTGAACTAACATACAGCTACTCCGCCCGCTACAAGATCATTGGTGGAAAAGAGGTCTAAGCGAAAGGCAGTCACCAAAGAAATTTGTGCCATAGAAGGAGGGTCAGTTATCTATCGAAATACTGCTGCACTTTGGTTAAGGTTTTTCAAAAATATGAATATCAGGCAAGTAGATGAACCCAGATCAGGTTGCCTATCCGACATTGATGAAGACCTTCTAGAATGTGTGCAAGACCACTCCAACTATTCCTGATGGTCGGGCAGTGGACTCAAACCTTTACTGTGAACAGCTAGACAGAGTTTATGCAGTTTTTAGAGCAAAGTACCCTGCTTTGGTCAATAGGAACCAAGCTATTTTACAACATAACAATGCCACTCCACATAGTTCTCGTTTTACCAAGGAAAAATTATCAGAACTGCAAGCAGTAAATGGATGTTAAGAGTTCTTTGCTTCAAAACGGAAGGAGTGGTGCTGGCATCAAATCTAATTATTACCAGAAAGATGGGTGGAAGTAGTTGAAAACAACGGACTTTACTATGAAGAGTAGTATTAAATAATGTTTAACTATAATATGTAATATGAAATAAAGCTATACCAAAAAACTATACCTATTGGAGTTCACAAGGACTTTTATAACAACCTAGTATAACCATTTAAACAATAGTTTTGCCTACTTGAGAAAAACAAACTATTGTAATGAAATTAATATATTTTTATTATCCTGGGACTGTTGTCCCTTTGGAACAAATTATAGATACAGAGAAAATACCTGTGTGGCCATACATTAAATTAAATATTTACAAATAATATCTTATTAAAATAAAAATATGGGAAGAAAAAACAAAAACATAAAGATATATATATATATATATATATATATATATATATATATATATATATATATAAACAATGGAAAATAAAATATATAAGTAAACAAAATAGTTGAACTTAAGTTAGTGGGGTAACTTAAGAAGTTCTCTTATGTACATTCTGTGATCAGTCGGGTTGGGAAAGGAGTAGGTGCTTAAAGGGGAGATTTAAATGAGGAAACTGATTGTGCATGTCAGATATCGCGAGAAATAGTATTCCAAAAGGAGTCGGCTTGAATTACAAAGGGTTTATTTATCAAATGCAGCAGTTTAGTGAGGAGGAGGATAGAGTTCAGAAGAAAGAGATCTGGTTGGATGGGATTGAATGGAGGATTTGAATTGTAGCTTCTGAAGAATATAGAAGAGTCTCTGACTTCTAATGGTCTGGTATAGGAAGGTAGCAATGAAGTACTAACAGTGGTAGGACGGATAGAGCCACTTTAGATAGGTGTAATACTGGATAACATGCGTATCTCATGAGATTCCGAAGACAAAACTATACTGAGCAATTCATTAGACGTTTAAGTTTAGCTTCGAGTAGTCTGGTGAGTCCACCGTACACTATACAACCATAGTCGAAGTGGAGGAAAACAAGAGAGGAAACCAGGATTGATGGGTTTTGTATGGAAGGAAATACAACAAGGATAGCTTTCGTCTTCTCGGCGTTTAGGGTGAGCCAATATTATTAAGTTTTCTCAAGCACATATTCTGTATATATCTTCCTGAAGTTGTAGGACTTTGCATTGGAACCAGCCGGATCGAAAGAGAGGTAAATTTGGACATCATCAGCATATATATGGTACTGACAGTGCATGCTAGAAGATGGAAGGTCATTGATATAAATGGGAAAGAGGGTGGGAGATAAAGAGGAACCCTGGGGAATGCCTCTGGACAAGAATAGAGACTCTAACGGGGATTATTAGGGACTACAACATACTGGGAGCGACTGGTGAGGAAGTATTGTAACTAATTAAGGGCACTAGAAGATAAGGAGATATTTTTAAGTTTGGTAAGGAGGATATTGTGATCTGAGTCAAAGGCTTTGGAAAAATCGAGAATAAGGATGGTGAGTTTCTGTTGGTCTAAAGCAGTGTGTAGATCTTGGGAGATTTAAATGAAGGCAGAATGGGTTGAGTTTTCAGATCTAAAACCAGATTGGAGGATGTTCAGAAAGTTATTTTGCTCGAGATCGTGGGATAATTGAGATTACACTAATCATTCTAGAGGTTAGGAAAAGTTGGATAATAGTGAAATTGGGCAGAAATCATTAGGGGTTGCAGGATTGGTGGTTTTATTAAGCGGACAACGAGAAGTTATAAATATGATAAAGAATATGGAGAATGTAGGGAAGTGAGGATTTAGTCAACTTAACCGGGATGTTGTCAGGTCCAAAATCATTGGTTTTGGTTTTATGAATGGAATTAAGGAGGTCATCAGGAGTATGGGAAAAGAAGAAATGATTGGGATTAAAGGAGGGAAGAATGGGAGCTGGAGCTGGTGCTAAGAAAGAGACAAAGGAAACAAAGTGAGTATAGAATACGTCAGCTGAAATAGGGATATAGAGTGGCTCAGGAAATCTTTAGGAATAAAGCGGCCCTAGACCTTTGTGAATGAAGAAGTCAAGGAGGTCAGGGTTACGGTAAGGATCAGGGGAAACGATGTTGCTGCGACAACTGTAACAGGAAAAAGTAAGATTTGGATTGTTATTGCTGAGATGTGTAGGAAATTATGTACTGGTAAAGGATACAAGTGATGGGAGAGGGATTTATGGATGATGACAGCAGTGCCTGCATGTGCTGTTCCATCAGAGTGGTCAGTTCGAGAAATCATGTAACCATGTATGTTGAACTGTCGTTTATTAGTTAGTCGAGTCTCAATTATTAGGGCAGGGCTATTTCAATGTTATTGCCCTTTAGAAAAAAAGTTAGTTCATTGATGAGGTTTTGAATACCATTCGCATTCCAGAGAAGAATGGAAAGGGGTTTTGTTAAGGACATTTAAGGAATTCTTGGCGATGAGATAAGATAAGCTATAACATTTGTAAGTAGAAAGACGAGGGATTTGATCTCAGAGAGAAATAATGTAAGCAGGCTGGTAAGGTCATTGGAATTGTCAGGGGGAGGAATATAGATTTGGTGAGGACTGGATTTTTGGGTAATTAGGGATAAATTATATTTCAGATGTCTAGAAAAAATATTCTTAAAAAGGCATTGGTTACCTTTGAGCAACAGAACAGTATATCCTGAGTTCTAGAAGACAATCAGCTTGATTCAGGTGGAGGAGCAACTATGGGTATTGCGAGACGCACTCTTCGAGAAGTTGACACTGGTCTGCTCACTTGGGACTGAGTGTTATAGTAAGTAATTCCAGTAGGTCCTTGGTACACTTCAGGACCTCTTGGAGGAGTTGCTAAAGGTGGAGGGGTTAAAAAGGTTGGAGGCAAATAGGTCGGTAAAGGTTGATGAAACTGATGAGCTGCTGGTGAAACAAAAGCAACCATAGGAGGTACTTCTGGTCTATAATTGGCAGGAGGCTGATTGGTATATTGAGTGGCAGGAGCAGCAGGTGTTGCGTCCAGACTTACTGTGGAACAAAAAATCCAATTATTAATTTAATCACTTAATTATTAAAATGTATCATACATCTAAATTAGAATCAGAAAATATTAAAATAGTTTAAGATGGGGAATTGTAGTGTCTACCATGTTGTCATTTCTTAAGGTGTATTAATGTAGCAGATTAGTTTGCTAATAACACAAGTTATAAACATGTTACAAACATCATCCAAAGATTTGTTCTAAAAGATGTCAAAAACTTTTGCTAATAACGTTTGATTTCGTTTACAATGTTAATATGAATGTTAATATCATTTTTATTTTTAACTTACCTAATAAAATTATATTTTTCAGTAAAATGTTAATAACCAAGAATGTTAGTAACCTACACTTAGAGAAGTATGTTTATAACGTTGCTAATAACATTTTAAAAGTTTGAGTTCAGACTGACAAGTTGAGGTAACAGCCAGTGGGTAGAAGAATTCTACCATTTTTGTTTTGGTGATAATACATAAAAAATTGTTGACACATGCCCAAGTGTTTGTTTCAATGGGCCCTAGAAGCCAAGAAAAATCTATTTTAGATAATTTCAAACAAAATTATTGTTATTATTTTTGTCTTTATAAATTTTATTTTCTGTTATTTATTATAATGATCATAAATTACAAAAACTTAAAGGTGCTTCCCATTAAATAGAACAAGTTAATTTGTATAATGAAAAAGCAAGTTAAATTCGTTTTTTGAGTCCTTTAAAACTCTTAAATAAGAAACTTCATAGAAATACAAAATTGCAAATTTTAGAACTTCATTTCCTTAAAAGAATTTTTTTCTGGCCATTAACTAAAACATTCATAACTTCTCAGGATTTTCTACAAATTTTTAAGATAGAAATAAAAAAAAAATTTCTCTAACACTTTTATTTTATATTTTTTATTCTAACCTATTTATGGAGGTAAGATCTGTACCATTTTGTTTAGCATAAAGAATCCTAACCTAAATATCTAATAATTTTCGTGTGAATTGGTGGAGCCATCCTGAACTTATCACAATTGTTGTCAACATAATTTCAAAGAGCCCTGCTAATGCAAAAATTTCAATATATTTTATGTATACAAAATACCAATATAGAGTTTTATATTGCAAAATTCAGACAAATTACTACTTTACAATTTGAAATTGATGGCTCTGACACCAAAGATTCTTATGACACATAACACCATTATTCACAATTTATAAGACATTGTTATTTGTTGATTACTACTTTTTATCAATTACTTAACTTATTTTAGAATTGCTTATTATACGTAAATTATTCTAAACATGCATTGTTGTTTTAATTCAATAAAAAGAGATGTCCTATATAATGTTTTACTTTAATTTAACAATACCGGTTTCAGTCTTCAGACCTTCATAAGACGATAATTAATATGAAATAATAAAATTAATAACAATAAAAAAACAAAAATAAAAATAAGGTCATATCCTGGTGGCACAATTTATAATAGAATGATACAGCATCTGGCTTATGCTGATGATGTAATAACGGCAAAAAATAAAACATTAGTGGGGGCATTAGAAGAATTCGAAACCGCAACTAAAGAACTAGACCTACAAATAAATAAACAGAAGACTGTTTATATGCAAACATAAAAAAAGCCAGGTGAAACAGTCAAACGCATCACAATTGGTAACCACGCCATAAAAGTGGTCGAACATTTTAAATATTTGGGAGCTCTAATTACAGAAAACAATGAAATGGTGGAAGAATTAAAAGCAAGGATGGCTGCCGGGAATAGGTGCTGTTTTGCAATGCGAAAAATATTAAATTACAGATCCCTTTCTAACACAACAAAGATCACTGTGTATGAGAAAGTCATCAGAACCGTCATCACATATGGCTCTGAGACTTGGGTGAACTCTAAAGTATCCGAAAACAGGCTACTCGCATGGGAGAGAAGGGTTCTCCGCAGGATATATAGCCCGGTGTGCGAACAGGGACAATGGAGAATTCGCACTAATAAAGAGCAGCATGAAATGTATACTTGACTGGATTTGGTCTCAATTGTGAGGGAAACCAGATCAGATGGTTGGGCCATGTAGCGCACATGCCCTGAGATGCGATTTCCAAACGCTTGCTAGAGGATCGGCCTGCTGGAAAATGTGGAGGAGGAAGACCACGCCTAAGATGGCTGGACCAGGTAGAGGACCGCCTGAAAAGGATGGGAATACGAAGATGGAGAATGCTCGCTCGAGATAGAGGAGAGTGGCGAAGGATAATAAGAGAGGCCCAGGTTCTTACAGGACCGTAGCGCCAAGAATAAATAAATATATAAAAAAACAAAAATTTACAAAACAATTTATAATGATAATAAAAATTAATACAAAAACTTAACAATTAAATATACAATTTTAATAAAGTGGATTTGATATTAAATTTAAATAATTTAATAATAATCACCTAACTTATGATGGTCTAGAATAGGAAGCTGCCAATCATTTCATTTAACGGAAGAACTTACAGCTAGTAACCATACTAAATTCTAGATAAACATTATCTGAACAAACAACTTTAGTCAGTCGGTTGAAAGCCGTAGCTTTGAGTAGCTTTCTATGCAAAAATTTAAATTAAAAAGGCGAAATTTGATGGTTCATATAATCGAAGAACGTATGGCTGAAATTTTGATATGATGTCAAAAATATGTCCCTAAAAGTCTCTTTCTTATTTTATTTTTTATTCACCTTGACTGTATTCGGTTGCATTTTGAAAACTGATGACGTCAAAGTCATTAAATTAGGCCAGTTGGATGAGGAAAAAATTCAAATAGTCAGTCTTTCTTCGGTTTTTTATGTTTTTTGGGATTCTGAATCTGAATTTGATGTGCTTGAATGAACTTTTCCATTTCGTTCCGAGATATATGCAAAAAACAGCAAAATTTCTGAACATGAGTTGAGTTTTTTGTGCATGACTCCAAAACTATGCATTTTATCGAGATTATTATCATATACAAAGTTAAAGATGATAAAATTTACAATTAATTTTATACATAGGTTTTTTATGTAGGCCCAACAGGTCGAAACAAAGCTTCTGACTTCAGACCCATTTCCATTTTAGCCAAGCCTCTAGAAATATTAGTTCACTATCAGTTGAATACCTTTCTCAAGCAAAACCATCTCCTCAATCATTTACAATCTGGTTTTCATTTCCAATACCCCACCCAATCTGGCTTGTTAAAATTTACCCAAGAACTTCAATGATCTATAGATAAACAGAAAATCTCTACCTTAGCCCTTTTCGATTTTTCAAAAGCCTTTGATTCTGTCAATCATAATATCCTCTTTTCTAAACTCCGAAGTCTCCCCATGTTGAATAGCGTTCCAAAATGGTTCTTCTCTTTTTCATCCCCATGCTCCGAGACAGTTGTTATTCCTAATAAACCTTTTTCCTCACCCCTTCAATTAACACGAGGTGTTCCTCAGTCAGGGCTCCTCACTTTCTCCAACCCTTTTCTCTATTTATATTAGCGACTTTCCTGACTCCATTCATCACTTATATGCAGATGATTTATTTATGATTAAGAGGATATCAACTATACCCACAGGTTGTCGGGGAAAAAAAAAAAAAAAAAACTGAAGCTGAACGCAGATAAAACTAAGGCTATCCTCATCAGTTACAGACACCCCATTAATTCTCTTTCTTCCTCTCCTCTACTTTATCTCGATAACCACCACATCCATTTCCTCCTGAGTCAAAAACCTCAGAGTAATTTTTTATCAGAACCTCTCCTGGAATAACCATATTTCTCAGATTAGCTGAAAATTCATAACTATCCTTGAAAAATTCTATTCCTAAAAAAACAAAACAGAAAGGTCCTTGTACCCTCCCTTGTTTTCCCCCACTTCAACTACGGTTGATTGGTATATGGAGGGCTATATGCAAGACTGGAGATGAGACTGAAGAGACTCATGAATTGCTTTACAAAATATATCATTGGGATTCCCATGTTTCCTGCTTGTAAACAATTTGGAGTGGCTCTATCCTACTTTCTTTTACTAGGTGTTTTCCTTTTCAAAATCCTCAGAACCAAAAATCCTCTGTATATCCTAGAAATATTTACTCTACATTTCTTTATCCACTCTCTCAATACCAGATCTCAACCTATAGATCTATATATCACCTCCCATAAAACTACTTCCATCAGCAAATCCTTCATCATTCGTGCTACCTCCTTTTGGAACTCCTTACTTATTTCCATACATCAAACCATATCCACAAATTCCTTCAAACAACTCCTATTCCACCACATACTTCACATTCAAACTTCCAGAAGCTTAATGTAATTACAATTTCTTACTAACAGTTAATTGATAAGAGGCATTTTATTTTTATTTATTTACTTTTTGTATATTAGTATAATTTACACAAGCCAGACTGATGTACATATTTCTTTAACATTTATTATTATTCATTATTGTTTTTATTTGTTTGTGTATTCAACTTGTAACTGTGACTCCCAATCCCGAACAAATTTATTTTGAGTGGAATTGGGATACAAAGTATTTAAATATAAATATAAATGATAAGATTCAATGTTACATAAACACTTAACTGATATACAATGAAGTTTATACCTTGATGGAAATATTGCTGCTGGTCTGGCTGAATATAGTGCTGGGGTGGAGGAGGGGGAGGCTGTGGTACTTGCTGGACTATTCCCACACCATTGGTAGTAGCTTGTGGAAGGGATCTTTGCCTCTGCATGGAATATCGTTTGCTTTTCGATTCTGCCCCAGATTTATCAACAATGGTATCCTCTGACGACTGTTGGTTTTTCACACCATTTGACTCACTAGAATTTGTCGGAGGAACTGAGCTGGCTCCTAAATAAAATTTTTAAAAGTTAGTTAAATTTAAATGTTATTTAATAAGAATTTTAAAAAAATGATCCATACAAAACAATGTAATATCATAAAATATATTAAATAATTTGAATAATAATTATTATACATGTTTAAATTAAATTATTATCTGAATTGTAAATCAATTATTTTTCCTCCACTTTAAAATATTCACAAATAAGAAACAGTTGATATTAATGATCTCAGTCAGAAGCTATTTCATCAGCTATGTTAGAAGCTACAGAAGCTATTAAAAGAAAAGCACCAGCAAATAGATATTTTAGTTTCCTAGCACATCCAAAGCAGGTTGATCCCCCATCAGACCAAATTAAGGGTTTACAAGACTCTCTTAACTGCCATTTATAAAAGACATACTAGCCTAAACTAATCTCACTTAGCCCTGTTAGTAGAGCACATAAATATATATTAACCCCATTTTTATGTTCATCATACTGTTCATTTATTATTATCAATCATTATTTACACCTTCTCTTTTTAAATGTATCTATTTTTATATGATGATTTAAATCAAATAATAATAATAATATATGCAATACATAGGAAGGGTAAGTATTGTGATCATGAAAATTTTTGAGGCTGAATTTTCAACGTAAATACATGTTTTGAGGTCTCCTGAATCCAAATAACCAAGTCCCACAAAATGGTCTGTGTGTGTGTGTATTATCAGTCTAGCTCAAAAACGAAAAGTTCTATGAAAGGAAAGTGAAATTGCATATTTAAATTTTTTATAAGCTTCCGATGTTACTGCAACATTTTCGTCATAATCGAAAAACCGGAACTGGTACTTTATATAATCGATTTAACACATTTTTACAATTTTCTCAAAAACGGCTCTAAGAATTTTGATTAAACTCAGTGTATTATTGAGCAGTTTTTAATATAATGTAGGTTTTATTCTCATTGATGTTCTCTATCAGGGCTTAAATGGCTAATTTTCAATATTGGCTTCCTTTTAAACTGTATGCTTTAAATATTAATATCAAATCCCATACTAAAATTAAATTACCAGGTCATTCATATAAACAAAGAAACAAACAAGACCCAAACAAATCCGTTCAAGATTTATCGTAATCCATGCTGACATCCAATCTACATTTTTTTACAATAATCAGACAATATTTTATATATCCCCACCAAATCTCAGTAATTACATATATTAAAGATGAAAAAATATAATTTTCTCATATCTTCTATAAATAGCTAGGGTAGAGTGCAGATCATCTCTATGTTTTTGTATCATTTTATTTGTTTAAATTGATTATTTGATCAATATGTTTGGTGTAGTGGTGTATCATAGTGTGTTATAGCTATCTTTTATTAGAAACAAAGAAAAGTGGGCATAATAAGTAATCTTGTTTCAAATTATCAGAACAGTAGTGTGCTAATGACTTGAACAGGAATAGACAGTTTTGAAGCAGGCAGTCTACCTCACAAGAAAGTTATCTACAGCCAACTCATTGTTTTATTTGTATTTCCCTCATTGTAATTCACCAATACTAAATTTGAAATTAATGGTAATATAAATAATATTATTATGAATCCAATAAATTTTCCTTTTTTCCCATTTAGTCAATTATCAAATTCTTTCATAGTTTATATTGAGCTTTTTTTTTTTTATTATATTACTACTAACAATAAGAGACAGTTAATTATTTAAAAACCAGCTGATCGATTAGCTGATGAGCAAGGTTGTGTTTCCAACTCATTTGTTGCAATTGTCAAGAAATGCAAACATATTACCTTTACTCTCCGATGCAATTCCTGTCCACCAGTACACTTTAATTCCATCCAGCTTCCTTACTCAGACACAGTCCGGTATCTTGGCTTTCTCTTAGACCAAAGACTGACATGGCGCTGGGATCTCCTTGAGTCCTGCCTTTCCCTCCACGAGTGTGGGGAAAGGCTTGGCTCGAAGATCTTGAGTGACTGAATATTGTAAATATTGTACAAAAGCATGTGTGTATTTAAGTATTTATTTTGTTAGATTAGTTTATTTTTGTTTAGTTTAGTATCTTTTAGTTTATATACATTTACTTTTAGTATTATTATATTGCTGTTTATTATTTTTATTTATTGTGTATAGTATGAATGAGCTACTCTTTATCACTATTATTATTGTCCTTGAATATGACAGATTCTAATATATCTCAAAAAAGAAATTTCCTAAAAGAAAAAAAATTTAAATAAACCAAATTAAAGGTATTTTAGAGGAAGAAATTTTAAAAATTCAGCATTTAAACTCTGTTAAGCAACGATAAGGATAAAATCTAAATTATATTAAAGACCATTAAATTTTATAATGATATAACGAGTTTAGTCAAAATCGTTAAGTCGTTTTTGAGAAAATCGTAAAAATGTGTAAAATCAGTGTGACACTTCTTGTAAGCCGATTTTCAAGAAAAAAAATGCAGTAACATCCCAGGCATATATCTTATCCTAAATACCTAATACCAGTTTCGTATAACTTATCGTTTATGTGTTAGGCTGATCACACACATACATAGACCATTTTACGTGACTTGGTTATTTGGACCCAGAAGACCTCAAAATGAGTATTTCCATTGAAAATCTCAGATTTGAAAATGCTCACGATCGCAATACTTTTAAGTTAAGAGTTCTATTTACAGAAAGAAATATTTACAGAATTCATACTATGTGCAAGCAAAAGAAATAAAATAAAAGGAAAAAGAGTAAATTTAAACATAACTACTATATACCCCCCGAGGCATCTGAAAAGAAGATGGGCTCGTGATCTCCTAATGTTGACATATTATTAGAGTGCTACCTGTGGGTAGTTTCTCAACAAGCGCTTTCAAGTGATTATATTCTTGGGTACACATTTACTTGATGTATTTATATTGTAATACAGTTGTAAATATCTTGAATAAATAGTTAAAAAATAAATAAATAAATAAAATTACTATATACAATATAAAGATAAAGAGGAAGATACTTAAGATAATAGAAATAACAAAAAAGACACTTATTCTATATACAATGGTATGGCATGGCACATATAAACATCAAGAAAAGATAGTCAAGATATCAGATATAAGAGCACATGCTCATGCTAAAATCTAGACATTAATAATTAGTCCCAAGAAACAAAAGAAAGAAGAGTTCCATGTTTTCCAAGGCTTCCTTAACCTAGGTTGCAATATATAGGCCCATTCTTTCTGTTTCATTTTCTAACCTTTCGCAGGTCTCTTTTATAGCCTAGCCTTGAGGGATAACCCAACCCAAAAAGAGTCAAATCATCAGCATAACCAAGCCTAAATACTTACCTCGTTTTATTAAAGATTGTAACTGACTGATTAAACTTGGCTCTTTTCGTCATTCCTTTGAGAACAATATTAAATAGCAGTGGGAAAGGGCATCACCCATCTAAATCCAGACTTCATTGCAGAAGGTTGGGCCAACTTCCCATTTATTTTCACTTAACTAATACTATCTTAATGTACATGCTGTAAGTTGGATTAACTTTGGTGGTATACCTCTCTTCCACTGCCATGTAGAGCTCCTTTCTGATCATGGAATCATAAACAGTTTTGAAATCAAAGGAAAAGATCCATATAATCTTACTGAATTCCTTTGTTTTGTCTTAAGGGGAAACTTTGGTTGGTAGTTGACCTGTTCCTTCTGAAGGCTTCCTAGTAATCACCCAAATGAGGTTCTACAAACTCCACTATTCGATTATATAAAATAATGGGAAAAACTTTGTAAGCAGTGTTCAGCAGGCTGATTTCCCGATAATTGTTGCATTCTGTGAAAGCATCTTTTTTCTTAAATAAGAGTATAACTGATTCCTTCCAGCTATTCGCCTTTTTTTCAGCCTCCCAGATATTAACGATTAAATGAGCCAACTCCTCAGCAAGGGTTGACTAGTTAATCTCCTGAAATTCTGCCAGTATGCCATCTGGAACCTGAGGCCTTGTTATTCTTAAATTTGTTTTAATTTTTCATAAATAAAAGGACATTTTCTACTAATATTTAATTTATTTTATATCAACATTACTGACAATGTTTTGGAAATTTTCAAAATATTGGTGGAATATTGCCTTTAATTTATGAAAAATGAAAACCACAAAACACCAAAATTAGGAAAAATGAACATTTTTTTTGCATTAAGATTTAAGACAAAATCCTATTTTGCCAGTAGAATATCTTAAATTTGTTTATAATCAGGCTAACCTCCAATGAATATGGTGGACTCACTTCATGGTCATTCCACTGATCTCGAAATTCCACATCAAGATACTCCTCATCTTCTCTGAGGTTTAGCAAATCTTTAAAATGCTCCTCCCACCTCCTCTTTCAGGAAGACTGTCTCTCCATCAGAATGCCTTATCATCGGATAGTTATTCATAAAGCCTTATTTTATCCTACTTTACTGATTTTACTTCACCGAAAAACTTCCTGGCCTCATTGCTTTAACGTTACTCTTCCATCTTATGCAAGTTTGTCTGTAATGTGTATTTTTTCTTTTGCCACAGCATCTTTTTTGCATTAAATCAGACATATTGGACTCCTTTCTATTCTGTCTGGTATCTCTATTTAGAAGTGTTTTTCCCTTTTCATTATGCACGTTAATTGATTCTTCACACTCCCGGGCAAACCACACAAAGCTAAGCCTTTATTATTGTTATTATTACATAGCGGACAATAGGGATTGCTGTTCTTCTGTTTTATAAAATTTTAGTGATATACTGCGTTTTATGAGAGAATGAATCTAAGTATTAATGTGAAATAAAAAAATTAGTTCTTTTTTTTCATGTACCACCTAAGAAATGGTTTTATAATGATACATTATTCACTTGTCAAATACACAATAATTTATTTATTTTTAATATTATATCATTACGAGTATAAACAGTCAATTAAATAAAAAAATTTACATCAAGAAATCAATAAAATAAACATTTAGTGCAGCCAACATAGAACCCAAAAGAACAATCTCATAAAAAAACCATTGAAGTTTTTTCTGCAACTTTTTTTTTTTTTTGCTGAATCTGATACAAATTATTTATTCAATTCAGTTTAAAATAAGTAATGTTGGAGAACTAAAACAGTACATATTGAATAGTGTCTACAGCACAGACATACATTTTTATTGGTTACATAATAGCACCTAGTTGATGATGGTATAACTTATGGCTAATGTAAATCGAACCAGTTTTACCCTTATCACTTGGGGGAATCAATGCAAAGTTGGTAAACATCATATTTCAACAGTCGATTTTGAACATAATCCTGGCCTAAATTTATAATGTAACTATATAACTCTAACTATATATATATATATATGTGTATATATATATATATATATGTATATATATATATATATAACTATATAACAACAAGCAAGACTTGGATTCATCTGGATGGAACTGACCTTGCCCTGAATTATTATTACTTAAAATTATTTAAATAAAAGGTTTTTTAACATTCAGTTTATTTATTTCTAAATATAAAAAATCAATAATATAGCAAAAAACAAAGATAAAATCATCTTTAACGTCCTAGGTGGAAGCAGTTGTTCGTGTTTTAGAATTCATAAGAATCTGAATCAGCACCCCAAAATACTAACAGAAACTCGTAGGATTCTTTTTTTTTTTCAAATCCTTTATTGACTTGACTAATAATTATATTTCACTTACGTTTTGACGGTATAGATTTGTTGTCAACATTTATAACTGCCTCTGCAAAGTGTTTCGATAAAGTAGCGATATCCTCTTCAGCAGTTGAACCTGAGATAAAAAAAAAGATGTACAAATAATTGATTCAACAGTTTCACTTGAATAGAAAAAGTACAAGAAGAAGTTTTAAAACACACATTTTTTTAACAAGGTGAAGCCTTTCCCGTAAATTACCAACAATGTGTAATAAAATAAAGGCTTTGAGTTGTGCTACAACCATATCTCTTTGCAATTCACAAATTTATATTTTTTTTCTTTGATTAATTCATATAGTTTCATTAAATGGACATAATTAACTTCTGAACTAATCTTCTAGTTACTTTGAAGCAGCTCAAAATAAACACGTCAGAACAATGTTATACTAAATCATCCAGCCAAAGTTCTACTTGACACCCCTTGTTTGTGTCGCGTTGAACTATGGCTTATAGTTGACCACAAAGTTAGTTCACATATGAATACAAAAATTTTAAAAATACCAAATATCACCCAATTCTAACAAGTAGTTTCAAAATTAGGATCTTTTAAATTTTCAAGAAATTTTTTAATTTCGGATCACAATTAGAGATGGAAACCTGGCGGTATGTATTTAACCTTTTTTTTGTAGTGATAAATCCATATTTAATAAGCTAGAGGCTTCAAAATGTCCTAAATTTAATGGAGAATTAGGTAATACTATTCAGACTTCGACAGTATTTTAAATAAAGTATTTTAAAATATAAAATACATTTTTAATTGTGGGTAAATGGTTGACTGTCAACAACAAGACAAAAATAAATGATAATATTTAATATTTACTATTTACAATTGTATATTATCGTTTATTTTTGCCTTCTTAATTCTGAATGACCATCCCAACTATTCTTCTCTTCATAAAATTTGTTTTTAACTGTATTTTCTTTTGAAAATAAATTGAAATGTATTTGTATTTCATTTTTAAAAAAAGATCAATGGTGCTAAAATTTTAATATAATTATCTTTGGCAATAATACTGGTAGATATTTAGAGATTATGAAAGATTATATTTTTTCATTGGAAGGATGAAAGAGAATATTATCAATAGAAATACCGTTGGGAAAAACAAATGTTTTTTATTTACTGAGCCTGCAAATGACTAAACCTAAAGGAGGTAAATAATTCTAATACCTCTCTATATACAAATAACATTCTCACTCTGTTTAAATCGAAATCCCACATTTTCTACAAGATCGAAGTCAAAATTTATAAATCCTAAGGGACTACCCTGTGATAAAAATTGTCTTTATAAAATATAACACTCCGCTGCCCATATGGCGGCCACTTTCCTTTCACTTCGAACTACCACTTTCCTTCTCTAATTTTTTGGATGCACCCAGAATGAAATTGTTGAATGATCAATTGTTTGAGGAACAGGCTATTATTAAAGGCTGACTGGCAAAAAGTTTTATTTTGAATTAATATCTACTTAGCCTATTTATTTGTTTGTTTGTTGGTCAATTATAATTTCTTTAACAAATTCTTCTTTAAAAAAATATTGATTGAATAATGTATATTTTCTCAATTTTTTTAAAACTATATCCACTGTGCCCACTTTTCATTATTGCATTCCTTACAAAAAAAAAAAAAAAAAAAAAAAAAAAGTAACAAAATTAATAAATAAAATAAAAATTTTAATTATAAAAAATATATCATTTTTTTAAATGAAGCAGTTTTAAAGTGCAACTAGGTACTTTAGACACAAGTATTTTGTATTTTTATTTTTTTGTATTTTAAATACGAAAAGTGTTTTGTATTTAAAACACTTTAAATGTATGGTTTTTAAAAACACAAAATACATGTATTATAAAATAATAATTAAAATAATTTTTACCCAGGTCTGATACTATTATTACCCATAATGTATTCAATAGTCAATAAGTTGGATTAGTCCTTTACTTACCCTTGCCTTGAATAAATTTCTGATAATATTTTTCTGAAAATATTTTAAATACATGGCATTTAAAATACTTTGTTTTAAAAACTCAAAATATATATATTTTAAAATAATAATTAAAATAATTTTTGCGTAGGTCTGATACTATTATTATTCACAATGTCTTCAATAGTCTATAATTCGGATTCCCTTACTTATCCCTGCCATGAATAAATTTCTCTCACCTCTGCCCCAAATTAGGAAGTGAAAAATATGTTGAATGCAACATTAAACTTAATTATGAAACGTGTTAATAATAGATTGGTAATGCAGTATATTGCTAGAGTTTTTGATTTGTACTAATTTCATCTCAAGCAATATCTCATCCAGTTAGGCTGAAACCACAGACACTTATAGGATCAATCCATTTTTTTGTTTTTCCTCTTTCTTGCCTTTTAGGCTACACGGAGTTTTCCTCCCTCTCCCAATGGGGGAGAGGACGGGAGAATTATGCAGAGTTAAAAGTCCCACTGGGTTCTGGGATTTGAACTCCTAATTATTTTTCACCTTTAACTTCAGTTATCAGTTTCCACCATTAACTTCAGTTGGCTAAAGCGCTCTCGCTGAAACTCCATTGGCTTTAGCACCAGTGACACGATTGAGAGAGTAGCGCAGGGATTTGGGTTCCCTGCCTGATTGTATATAGGTACGACTGTTTTTTTATATTTTTAATTTACTTATACTTTGGTTATTTTTTTTTTTTATTGTGCATAGTTTTTATTTATTATTATTTAATTATTATTTTACTTTTGTTAATTTTATATTTTTTGTATATATGGTGTGAATGTGTCCATTTATCACTATAATTATTGTCCTCGAGACAGAATATTATATGTCTAAATAAATAAAAATAAAAATAAAATAAAATTCAGTGATCAGGTTGGCGGGGCAACACACAGTGCTGTGCAAACGCTTTAGCCCACTCGGCCATCCCACCCCCATGGTCAATCCATCTAAAATCACCTAGACTTTTCTTTAAATACTATGTTGTCTTGTGAAGTATTTTTACATTGTTTATGTGAACCCTGGTCATCAGCAATAGCATAAAGTATAAAGAGATACTCAAACATTCCGATAAGACTGCAGGAGGGAGTCTTCAGCAATCTTTTAGGGACACTATACCTGGGCTGAAGCAAGAGCACTACTAATCACTGTCTACCGGAGTCTTGCTCAAACCATTAGCAAAATTTTGCAAGCCCTAGCTGACTGGATAATTATAATTATCCATTTTATTATGTCATAATTATGACAGTTGAATCGATATCCCTATATCCATCTCCAGCATAAACAACTTAATAAATATCATCAAATCAAGGCAAATTTTTTTGAAGTAGGATTACCTACTTAAGACATGAACTTCGGTATTTCTTTTGCTCAAACATCCCTGAATATACAAATTTGTTTATTGGGACAGGCTTTAATTTACTTTTATAATTATTACAAAAATTACAGTGGAGTATAGGCTCATTTTATTATTTTTGTGTTGTTTATTTATAAGGGGAACAACTACATCAATCCTCTTCTCAATATTTTATATACATATTGCTAAGAACTAATAGAAATATTGAATTGAAAACTAATAATTCCTGAAGATGTAAATAAATTTTAATAAGCAAAGATCTAAAATATTATCACCAATGTGGTGATTTTAAGCCCACATTCAATTATTTGTGCTTCTAGTTTAACTTAGTTCTGTGATTTCATTGAAAAAACTTTCTATTTGGAGTTGATCAACCAGAATGTTCTATTTCAAAAATTAGCATTCAACAAAACTTTTATATTTTTAGAGAAAACAAAATATATATTACAAAACACTTACTCTGTCGTTGGAAGCATCCGGATTTAAAAGGCTGAGAAACTTTACCTCTTCCCCGAGAAGAACCTCGGCCTCGGGTAGGGGTATGAACAGATGTTTCATCAATTTTCACTCTTCTCACTGATTGAGTAACAGACTGCGCATCTTTTTTCTCAACTTTACTATCTAACATTCTAATTGGTTCTTTCTTAACTGGATCTTGCTTACCATCAGATTTATTTTCATCAATACCTGCTTTCGCCACAGCTTCTTTTCTGAAAATTTACTTAATTTTAAATAAAATAAAACATAAAAAAGAACTTAAAAATTAACATGAGCATAATTCTGAAGGATAAAAATGATCTGTTTATTATAGAAACAGGTTGAGGGAGGGAGGGAAAGTACCACTGAATAAATTTAATTTGATTTTCTAGAGGGCTTGTCTTTGCAGCAGTCCACTAAGGATAAATAATTTCTCATATCCAAATTCAATGTTAGTAAAACCGTTGGAAAGTTGAATTGCAGCTCTTTCAAACCTCAACAATAGGTTTTGGAATTCATTCCTTTTTAAGCTAGAAATTTATAAAAACTTCTTTACATTTTTATTTTATAATTTTGGTTCTAATTTGTTTACAGAGGTAGCGTTTATACCATTTGATGTAGCATACAGAGCCCTAAAACCTTTATAATTTCCGTGTGATTCAGTGGAGTCATTTTGAGTTATCCCAATTATTTTGGTTGGCCACATAATTTTTAATGTTTTGATTGCTATGAAAATTTGTATTTTAGAGTTTTTCGAGGTGAAAAATACAAATATCAACTTTTTTTCTTCCTAAAAAAATATTTACTCCCACAGAGCCATGCTAATAGGTCAAATTTATACCCATGTGATAGCTATCTGCCAAATATAATATTCATTCTTTTTTTTAAATTGGGAGGGTAACTCGAGTAATGAATTTTTCAGAAAGAAACAAAGCTGATATTTATATTTCGCACCCCGAAAAACTCTAAAATACAAATCGTAACATTCAAAATTTTTGCCAAGGCTGGACCCTTCGAAATTTTGTGGGCAACCAATAATATTGGGATAACTTAAGAATGACTCCACCGAATCACACGAAAATTATAAAGGTTTTATGGATCTGTATGTTACATAGAATGGTACAAGTCGTAACATTCAAAATTTTTGCCAAGGCTGGACCCTTCGAAATTTTGTGGGCAACCAATAATATTGGGATAACTTAAGAATAACTCCACCGAATCACACGAAAATTATAAAGGTTTTATGGATCTGTATGTTACATAAAATGGTACAAATGCTACCTCCATAAACAAATTGGAATCAAGAGAGAATCACTTTATTTTCACAAAAGGGTGCTGCCCAATTAAATTGGGTTGCTACAGACACAGCATACTTATCAATCATTACTATGTTCAATTCTTAAAACTAATTATACAAATATACAGTATAATCAATACATATGAGCAATATAAACAATATTTTTTTTTTTATATGTATTATATTTCTTTCTTCTTTTTTCACTATTAACATGATATTTCCCTTTCTCTCCCCTTATACATTTCTTGATACTTGTCTGATAGCAGGTTGGGACGAAATCTCCCTTGTTATCTAATGTTACTTCACATATCCTCCCTTCTTATCTCATGAAAGCTGAGTTATTCCATTGTTTATTTTTGCTGCATTTGTGTGATTTTCGTCAAATTATGGATGTTATTACATTGTGGAAATTAGTGTCTTCAGAAGAAGACGCTATCGAATATTTTCAAAACAACAGGATAATTCCAAACGTGAAATTGTGTGAAGGTCACCAAATGAAGTTAGACAGGATGACGAAATGGAGATACTTTCGAATCACTTGTAACAAAAAGTGGTGCAAAGAGCAGCTGAAACTGTCCAAGGCAACTATGATAACCTGGATCAAATTTTTAAGAGAGGTTTGTGCCCATGACATGTTATACAGGTCAAGTAAAAAAATTGGAGGGCCTGGCAGTCATTGAAATAGACGAGTCTTTTTTCTAAAAGAAAAAATCATGTAGGGAGAGTTCTACCTGAGCAATGGATGTTTGGCGGAGTTTTCCGAAAAACAGATGAGTGTTTTATCGTCAAAATAAAAGACAGAAAGGCAACAACTTTATGTTGTTTAGTGTTTATATTGTTTCGTTTATATGTACATATGTTGTTTATAGTGTTGCTTTTATATGTGCATATGTTGTTTATAGTGTTCACATGTTTTCTTTTATAAGTGCATATGTTGTTTAAGTGTTTTTTTATTATTTCATTTTTTTTTATTATTACATTTATTTTTCTCCATTTCATGTGTGTGTTGTAAAATTAAAGTGTTTTGTTATGGTTATGGGAATTATTACATTTCTTTTTGTCTATTTCAATTTCAAATCAAACTGTTTTGTTATTACTACATTTGTTTTCATCTATTTAATATGTATGTTGTAAAATAAAAGTATTTTTAATAAAAGTATTTTTTATTATTACATTTGTTTTTGTTTACATTTGTCAAGAATATGAATATAATACAATAAATATGAATATGAAAATAGGAATTATCAGTGTCCAGGTTATAAACATTGGCAGATAGCAGTCAGTCACGTCCGGCCATCAGACAAGTACCCATTTCTCTTATCCTACCTCATAGCTTCTCCTCTCTCTTCCTATCCCAATTTACAAAATACAGTGGATGTGTTCAATAAATAATATAATGCTAGACCTTCATAAAATCTTTAAATGATATTAAAGTGTAACATTAAATATTGTCACTTCTAACAACAAACTAATATTTGCTTATTCTGGGAATGCTAGTGTAGTGTTCTTGTTTTTTACGTTTTTCAAGACAACTACAAATATCATTGATCATCAGACGAATTCTTATTAAATCTTATCAATCTGCTTCCTAAAAACAAATTGTATAGAGTAAGAAATGATCCTTTTGATTTTTATGAGAGAAAGAGTTGATTGTGGGGTGCGTTCAAATTAATACTAAATTAAACAAATAGAATTATTTAATCTAAATTATTCTACTTGTTTAATTTAGTATTAATTTGACCGCACCCCTCCCCCGATCAACTCCTCTTATTATATCAACAGTCAACCATCTCTATATCATTTTGATTTTTATAATGAATCAGAATTCAAATCAAGATTTAGGTTTTCAAAACATGCAGTGTTTAATTTAATATTATTTTTATTCCTAATAAATGTTTCAATCCAACGCCAAGAGATCGGTAAACATAAATTTGAGCAAAGCCCGATATACCAATATATCGGCCTAACGACTTTATTTTATCGAGGTCGGTAGACTTTGACCATTTTTTTTATCAATTTATTATTTTTTTTATAGACCTCCACTTTCCCTAATTTGAACAAATACCAATATTCCAAAGACCGATATATCGGCCTCATGACCTTATTTTATCAAGATTAGTAGTTTCATTTATTATTTTTTATTTATTATATATATATAACTGATATATCGACCTTACAACATTATTTTATCGATATTCCAAGAATTTCATTTTGAATATTATTTTTATTGCTAATAAATGCTTCAATTAATCGCCAACAGATCTGCATAAACATAAATTTGTGTAAAGACTGATAAATCGGCCTCTTTCACTTTGGATATCATTTTTATTGCAAATAAATGTGTCAATCATTCTTCAAGGGATCAATATAAACACAAATTTGAGCAAAGACCGATATACCGGCCACACAATCATGTTTTATTAAGATTCAATGAAATTCATTTAAAATAGCATTTTTATTACTAATCAAAATAAAAAAGTGCGTTAGGCTGATATATCGGTTAAGGTCATAATAGAGCCGGAATTTTGGTATCTGCTCAAATTAGGGAAAGTGGAGGGGAAAAAATATATGTAATAATAATAAGAAGGTCAAACTCTACCAAGCTAGATAAAATAAGGTCGTAAAGCTGATAAATCAGTATTCAGAATATTGCTATTGCCTCAAACAAGAGGAAGAAAAGGACAAAATGAAAATAATAAAAAAGATAAAACTCTTCCAATCTCGATTAAAAGAAGTCATCAGGCCAATATATAGGTCTTTGGAATACCGGTATCAGCTCAAATTTATGTTTATGACGAATCATTGGCAACTGATTGACACATTTATTAGCAATATGAATAATATTCCACAGGAAACTATGAATCATGATAAAATAGGGTCCTAAGGTCGATATATAGGTCCAATAGGAAGACAAATAAAATTTGTAAGAAAAGAAAAGGAGAACAAAAAAAAAAAAAGCAATAAACAAAGATGGTTAAATAAGATGGTCATTAAATTAAATAAGGACATGACAATATATCAGTCTTTGGGATATGAGTATCAATAAAAAATGATCAAACTTTACTAATCTCGATACAAAAAAAGTCATAAATCTGAAATTTCGGTCTTTGCTCAAATTTATGTTTGTGTCCATCCCCCAACAATTGATTGACCCCTTGATTAGCCCGAAAAATAGTAATGCAAATTAAACTTTATGAATCTCAAAAAATTAAATTAGTTAGGCCGATATATTTGGAGGAGCAGAAAAAAAAAATTGACCTCAACCGATACTGATAAAATCAGGAGGTGGGACCAATACATCGGTATTTGGAACACCAATCTTCTTAATCTTGATAAAATAAGGTCATGAGGCCGATATATTGGTCTTTGGAATATTGGTATCTGTTCAAATTAGGGAAAAGGAAAGATCAGAAAAAAATTTTAAAAATTGTTACTCCACCAATCTCAACAAAATATGGTCATAAGGTCGATACATCAGCCTTTGCTCAAATTTATGTTGATCACTTCATGAATAATTAGCACATTTATTAGCAATAAAAATAATATTCAATGTGAAAAGGAGGCTAATATATCGGTTCAAGAAGATGTCCAGAAAATTTGGAAGATGTTCACATTAAAAACAAAAAAAGAAATAATAGTCAAACTCTACTAATCTTAATAAAATAAGGTCATAAGGTCGATATATAGGTCTTTGCTCAAATTTATGTTTATGTTGATCCCTTGATGAATGATTGGGCACATTTATTAGTAATATCCAATGTGAAAGAGGCCGATATATCGGTTCAAGAAGAGGTCAAGAAAATTTGGAAGATGTTCACAATAGAAAAAAATAAAAAAAATGAGAAACAATAGACAAACTCTACCAATCTTAATAGAATAAGGTCATAAAGACGATATATCAGTCTTTGATCAAATTTATGTTTAAGTCGAGCCCTT